TAACTAAGAAGATATTTTACTTATTCTTATAAAATATTATCTTTTCATATAAAACAAAGAAAACATACATTTCTACAGAGAAATGTGATAATTCATTAATATACTTATTTTGGAAAGATGTGGTCTTTTTTCTACAATTCATAAATTAATTCCTTTATTTGAAAATGTCTTCTTTTTGAATTAATATTTTTGCTAGAAATCTATTTTTTGCTCAAAATATTTTTCCAAATTAAATTTTAAACTGAAAGTATTTTTTACTAATAATTTTTAAGAGCTCATGTTTTAGTACTAAGTTGATTTTTCATATCTAGTCTTCCTTTCTGCATATGCTCATAGATTGTAAAATTTAGAAATGTTTATAAAACACATTAAAATAGATTATTTATATATAATATTTATACTTATGAAAGCATTATACATGGCACAAATAGTGACTGTCTTTTTTTTACTTCTTTGCTTTTTGGCAAATTCTTCTTGTTCATGTGTGGGTTTTTGTTTCAATGCAGGAATCTTCTGATAAATTAGTAGATTCTGACAGCTGCTTAAGGAGCCATAGAATTCATGAAGTTTGTGAAACTGTCTACGAATGACCCCAATTCAAGCAAGCAAATACATATTTGTATATCTGAAGTATAAAAACCTAGATCCCAGAATTATTCCAAATTAAGTGTTTTTCAAACATTTCACAAAAATGGTCCTTGTTTCTGAGACCCTTGTGCTCTGATCACCCACTTGTTGGAGTTAAATGTGTTATTCCTGCCATGGGAAAGAGAAGAAACTCAAGGTGATTAAAATGTTGAGCTTCATCCTACCACCTCTTACTTCCTTCTCACTGCCATTTTTCTGAGCAGCACAAGCAAAGCTTGGGCTGCAATCTTCCCATGCACACAAGTCTTTAGTTCTTCCTGTTGGCTGTTAACACGCACTCTTATGGGGCAACATGACTTCTAGATCTGGTTTTCAGGTGGAGGTTTTACAGTACTCAGGATGGAAATTTGATCCCTGTCTTTCTGATGACGTCATGCTTTCTGAGTCTAGTCCATCTACAGTAGAGGAGGGAGGTGGTGGTTGTGAAACATGGTCAGTGGGTGGCCAGCTGGGAGGTGATCCAGAGAAGCTGGGGAGAGAGGACAGCACAGGGAGCTTGGGCCAGCATCTCAGCCAGGGACGCTGTGAAACCCCTGGAGTTGCACACTCCACACTGGTCAGTGTTGTGAGTCTCAGGGCGGTTCCTCTGTGGGTGCACACACTCGCAGGCCAACACCCTCGCCTGTTTTCCTCATCTAGAAGGTAGAACCTAACCATGTGGACCTGAGGGTGCTCTCGTGTTAAAAGGCACTCTGCTCCTCGGTATGACCAGGGCACTAGAAGACAGCAGTGCCTCCAGGCTTCACTTCAAGGGCCGTCCCTCTGCCACATCAGTAAACTCAATATCGACAGTATTTTTGCCGTAAGATGCTCGTTTCTTAAAAAGTAGGTTATCATCAAATCTCAACTGAACCTCAGAACCCTTCTTGTCTCTTAGAAAAGATAGCTGTGTAACTCTGACTATGCTATATCAAAAAGCATCTAAATAAATTTTGGGGAAGCTGGGAATGCTAATTGACCTGATTTGATCAGTACACAATGTATACATGTGTTAAATTTTTGTACTCTGCTCCATAAACATATACAGACATATGCATCTATTAACATTTTTAAAAATTAAAAAATGTAAGAAAGTAAAATTTTAATCTCTGACTTTGAATATAGGAAAATCTCTTCTATGATGCTGGAGAGGCACTAACTAGAATGGTTTAGCATCAATCTCAAATTTCTAAATCCTGTGAAAAGAGAAAAGAAACCTATTTTCCTCTTTATAAACTGCCTGGAGACCCTTAGAAGAAATGCAGTAGATAGTATAATTATAATTTTTAATGTTACTATAACCATCATCATTTATTGATTACTGTTATAAAAAGTATTGCCAATGAGTAAAACATTTTTAAAATGCCAAAATAATTAAAGAAAAAATTAAAACATAAGACAAAAAGGAAAAAAATCTGAAGAAGTTAAATTTAGAGGATGATTTGAGGTGAGTTCAAACATAACAGAAGAACATCAAGTGAAATTCGTGACCGCTTTCTTAGGAGCACACACGCACAGATCCAGGTTTTATACCCAAGAAGTATTTTTTAACTGATATATCAAGCATATTTAGAATCTCACTGCTGTTAAATTTGCTACTATATTTTGATGAATATACAACTTAGTTCTCTCTAAGCAAAGAGCCCTTTTTTCCAGACTAGAGACAGGATTGAGAGGGCAAAAGGTCGTGCATCCTTCACCCTAATAATTAGATTAAGGGCTCTCTGAGTCATGACAGTACTTTAACTTTGTAAAACCTTAATTACTCTGTAATTAAACAAGCCTTGAAAAAGTAGTAATCATTTTTAAATATCCTGAGTAAAAGAAAAATATAGAGTTTTGGGAAAGGATCTTCTTTTAGGAAAAAAAAAAAAACTGCCAGTGACTTTTACGAAAGCAAACAGGTTAGAATCTGTTGTATAGATGCATTGAAAATATAGATTTGGAGGGGACTTGGCTTTTGGGGACAATCCAGAGCATATACAAATATATACTGGATTTATAATTCAAGATAGTGAAAAAATAACCTTAAATGAATACTATCTATTTTATGAGAAAATGGAATCTTAAAAATACGCTATTGAAGCTGTTGCTCAAATTTTTATTAACCAGTCTGACTTTCTTTTTAAAAATTGTATTGATACAAAAACAATTGGTTTCATTAGCTGGCTTCCTAAGAGCAAATGAACTGATTGTGTTTAGCAGGATGACTTCTGTTTTAGAAGAGCCTTCCTACTTCTCCCATGATATATAAATATTTTTTCTCCTATGCATTATAAGTATTTTTTACCCTATGGAGTATACTTGTCATTTGTTTTTCTTTTCCTTTTTCTTCCTGGATATTTTCTCTGTATTTTCACAACATCCTGCACCCACCCTACAAAAAAAAATTTGGTCTCCTTTTTAAAAATTTTCTTATTAAAAATTGTTTTTCCTTGCAGAGCAAATGAAAATTCTTAGGTAGTTGGAGCCTTCTTATTGAGACCACATTTGAGGCCTGCTGTGAAACAGTCTTGGAAAAATATCAGAACTGCACAAAGTTTGCAGATATCAGAACTTCACATGCTTTTTGGTCTGGTTATAAACAAAAATGGGAGTCTGCTCTCAACCCTAGCACTTCTTGGCTTTCTAGGACAGTAGAGGGGAGAGAGGCCTCAGTGTCCCCCTCAGATCTATGGAGATCGATGATGATCCCCATCAACATTAAGCAGAGCTTCTCAGGCTTTCTCAGAGACACCTACGATGGAGCTTATGCTGTGGTGTGCATAGCTACTTGCCGTGTAGGTTAGCTGCATGTTTTCACCCAGACCTGTCGGAAGGGAGATCTCACCCAGACTACGTGATAGTTCTGCAAATAACACTTGGATTCTGATCCAGTGGTGAATGAATGATATGCTTACATTGATTATCTGCCTGCAATCAGCTGTTACCCGCGCCCTTTTCCCTGTGGAAGTCCATGCGACACTGTTGACTTATTAATTCATTTTTTCTCAACAAAAACTCCTTGGATAAGTAGTCAGATGTTAGATGTCAGTGAAGAGAGTTGATTCATTGGTGGTGGTTGTTGAATTCTATAAGTCTGTGGGTTTTGTAAAGTGGTCCTCAAGTGTAAGATTAAAATGTGTTTAACATTAAACTTTATTAATTTTTGATAACAACAACAAATAAATGGCAACCCCTAGTGGGGAATAACCAAGCAAGATTTTTACTATTTAAATAAATGAAAAACAATTTTTGAAAATATACTGTCATGACTGACAATGTTACACTTCACCCCTCATGATACGCATAAAAAAATATTCACAGAACACACGCACACATGCACACACACTGACTGCTTTATTGCCATCTTTACCATAATATTCCACAATTTAGCATTTGCAAGTCGGCCTGAATAATGAGGCAAAATTCCAAAGCAGTTTTGTTTATGCTCATTCAACATAGAATCCTAGGATTTAAAAAAAAATATTTATTTATTTATCTGAAAGGCAGAGTGACACTGACAGGGAGAGACAAAGAGACGTTCCAACCACTGGTTGGCTCCCCAAATGCCTGCAACAGCCAGGGTTGGGCTAGGTTGAAGTCAGGAGTCTGGAATTCCATCAGGGTCTCCTTATGAGTGGTAGGAATGCAAGTACTTGGACTTTTGCCCACTGCCTCTCAGGCACATTAGCAGGAAGCTGGATCGGAAGCAGAGGCAGGACTCAGCAGCAGTGACTTAACTTGTGGCCTGCCCTAGAATCTTAGGATATGTCTAGAACTCATAGGGACCTTTGAGACTGTCCAGCCCGAATTTCCCAATTTGCACTAGGAAAAATTGAGGCAGCTTTTGAAGGATCCAATCTTGCCCAATCCACAGAAAATTTGTGGCTTGGTGGCAGGTCCGGGGTTAGAACCATCTAACGTGAAGAGTTCTGACTCCGGGCAGAGTGGAGATGGAGTGGCAAATTCCTGATGAAGAGAAAAAAAAAAAAGCAGTAAAAAAGATGATGTTGTGTGCTGGCTAGGGGAGTTTTTCCTTTTTTTTTTTTTTTTTTTTATTGACAGGCAGAGTGGACAGTGAGAGAGAGAGACAGAGAGAGAAAGGTCTTCCTTTGCCGCTGGTTCACCCTCCAATGGCCCGCCGCTGCAGCCGGCGCACCGCGCTGATCCTGGCAGGAGCCAGGAGCCAGGTGCTTTTCCTGGTCTCCCATGGGGTGTAGGGCCCAAGCACCTGGGCCATCCTCCACTGCACTCCCTGGCCATAGCAGAGAGCTGGCCTGGAAGAGGGGCAACCGGGACAGAATCCGGCGCCCCAACCGGGACTAGAACCCGGTGTGCCGGCGCCGCAAGGTGGAGGATTAGCCTATTGAGCCACGGCGCCGGCTCTAGGGTGTTTTTCTGATTCAGGCTTACCAAAGACGAACTCGGCTACCTTTGTCTCTGGGCCATCCCACTGCGTTGATCAGTTTAACTCTTTTTCTTCTTTCTTTCAAGTTCCCAAAAGAGACGTATTTTAGTGACCTGTCATCTGCAGAAGTTCAGAAATCAAACAGTCCCCTACCTTCTCATGGAATGACATAACAAGCCTTTGGTAACCCCTGAAATGTGTGAACACTGTGTTACCTACCAACAACACAAGCATCAGCTGAATGATGTCTATGAAAGTGTCTGGCACCCAGTCGATGTTCAAGTACATGTTCTTCACTTACTGTCTATATGGACAGGTTTAAATTAAGATAGAGTTCAACAGTAACTACTGCAAGGCAAAATTAATCAAGTGCTAAGTAGCGGTCAGAGCAAAGTACTGTGGCAGTGGAAGGAATGCTTAATCCTTGTTTTTTTTTTTTTTAATTATTTACTTATTTGGGAAACAAGACAGAAATGTAGAGTCCCTACATGATTTCCTCCCCTCCCCTAGTGGCTACAATGGCCTGGGTTGGACCAGGCTGAAGCTGGGAGTCAGGAATCCCATTAAAGTCTCCTACATGGGTAGCAGGGACCCAAGTACTTGAACCACCACTCGCTGCCTTCCAGGTGCCCATAAACTGGAAGCTAGAATCAAGGGTGGAGCCAGGATTAGAACCTCTTAACTGCTAGACCAAATGCTCTCTCTGGGAGTCACCAATTCTGATGGGAGGTCAGAGGGTGGAGAGCATATTACTTGTGCTTTGTAAGATGAGTAGGATTTTGCTAGAAAAATAATAAAGGCATGGCTGGCTGTGAGCACTTTGTAATGAAGGTCTGGAGTGGTGGGTACCTGGTATATTCTGGAAATGGTGGAGAATGTATTGTTATGGGAATGATGAGGAAGAAAAGGAACAACATGCTGGAATCCTTGGTTGGCAACGGTAGAGGCAGTAGAATGCTGGGTGAAGGGCTTTATGCTGTCATAGGCACTGGAGGACCACTGAAGCTTTAGACTAGGCGTGTGGATCTCTGGGGCTAATATTGACGAGTGGTTTAAGAGCGTGAAAAGGGGACCAGGAGTTTGCTGGTGACTCAGGTTAGTCGTGATCGTTAAGAAAGATGTCCTGTCTGTTTTACATTGCTTCAAGGGAAGTCGAGAGTTGTGACGATGGTTGCGAGAACCTCAGATAAGGTGACCCCATTCACGGGACCAGGAGTGATTTGAGAAGCTATGTGGATGATAGTTAGGCTTTCTTGTTGAACTCTGGGTACTGAGGACTGGTCAGTGGCCTCCAGAAAGCAGCCAAGTTATTGGGTGCCTGCTATTGTGTGTGCTACAAAGTGTCCCTTCGGGGGTAGAAAAGGCTTGAGTGAATGGGAAAGGGGAGGGTTGTGGGTGGGAGGGACGTTATGGGGGGGAAGCCATTGTAATCCATAAGCCGTACTTTGGAAATTTATATTCATTAAATAAAAGTTAAAAAAAAAAAAAAAAGAAGGCCGGCGCCGCGGCTCACTAGGCTAATCCTCCGCCTAGTGGCGCAGGCACACTGGGTTCTAGTCCCGGTCGGGGCGCCGGATTCTGTCCCGGTTGCCCCTCTTCCAGGCCAGCCCTCTGCTGTGGCCAGGGAGTGCAGTGGAGGATGGCCCAGGTGCTTGGGCCCTGCACCCCATGGGAGACCAGGAAAAGCACCTGGCTCCTGGCTCCTGCCATGGGATCAGCGCGGTGCGCCGCCTGCAGCGCGCCGGCCCGCGGCGGCCATTGGGAGGGTGAACGAACTCTGTCTCTCTCTCTCACTGTTCTGTCTCTCTCTTCACTGTCAAAAGATCAGAGAGAGAGAGAGAGAGAGAGAGAGATGCTTTTCTAAAACTTTTAGTTATTTTTAAAATTATTAGTTATTTAAAAGCAAGAGAGAGAGAGAGAGAAAGAGAATGAATCTTCCATCTGCTTGTTCACAACCCAAATAGCATCAACAGCCAGGTCTGGGTTAAGGCTGAAGCCAGGACTGGTCTCCCATTGAGTGGCAGGAATCCAAGCACTTGAGCTATTTTCTGCTACCTTCCCAGGTATCTTAGCAGGATGCTGGACCAGAAGCAGAGCAGCTGGAACTCAAATTGGCACTCCAATATGGAATGCTGGCTGCACAAGGAGCGGCTTAACCTGCTGAACCACAACGCAAGCCCCTGCCTTTATTATTAATTAATTACTATTCATTTGATTTTAGAGAGACAGATAGACAGATATCTCCCAATCTACCAGTTTACTCTCCAAATGCCCAGAACAGCCAGGACTGGGCCAGGTTGAAGCAGGAGCCTGGAATTCAATCTGGGTCTCCCTTGTGGGTGACGGGAACCCAGGTACTTGAGCCATCAGCTGCTCCCTCTCAGCATGTGCATTTGCAGGAAGCTGGAGTTAGGAGAGGAGCCAGAACTCCGACTCAGGTACTCCCATATGGGATGTGGGCATCCCCGAGTGGTGTCTTAACTGCTGTGGTAAACGCCTGCACCAAGGGTTGCTTTTTCATCCTGACTTTGACCTTGTTTTACCAATGAATCCATTTCTTCAGCTGGTGTCTTCATTTCTGTTCACACCAACAGGAAAGTATTTTTTTTTTTAAATTTTATTTATTTTCATTTTATTTGAAAGGCAGAGAGACAGAGATCTTTGATCATACATTGGTTCACTCCTCAAATGCTTGCAACAGCCCAGGCTGGGCCAAGACTGAAGCCAGGAGCCTGGAATTCCAGCTAGGTCTCCCAGGTGGGTGGCAGAGACTCAAATACCCATTAGCAGGGAAGCTGGACTAGAAGTGGAGGAGCCAGGACTTGAGCTGGGAGTTTCTATATGGGATGCAGGGATCCCAAGGGACGACTTAACTACTCTGCCAAAAGCCCACCCAGGAAAGTGTCTTTTCATGGGGCCTGTCTGGGAGCCAGACGCTTCTTTTACTTCATGGTAGCCTGTGTCTATCTTCCCTTCTTGCTGTGTCGTCTTGCACTCTGTGCCTGCCACTCTCCCCTCTCTGCACCTTGGGACTCCGTTCCTCTTCTCTGCCTCCTCTTGACTCTCCACTGCCCTTCCTGTTGGAACTTCTCTCCTATGCATCTCGCAGGTCTCTGTTCTGCTATCCCTGTCTTGTGCCTTTCATGTCAGAGTGGGTATGACAAGTCAGACAAGAAAAATCCCTTCTGTGGGTGCAGACCAGATGTGACCAGACCTCAGCCTGATGTAGGGGCCCCAGGCTAGTAGTAGTGTGTGCGTGGAGGTGGGACTGTGACTTTACATCTGCACGTTGACACAGCATCATATATGTGTTAGGGAATTAAGTGCACTTGTACTGCAGGATATGGACTCCCAAACTGGAAATAGAAAACTCTGGGTTTTGTTGCCATCTCTGCTGCTGATTTCTTATATCACTTTGGACAATGTCATAATCAAAAACTCAAATGAAATCTTTTTTGTTAAAAAATAACACATTTCATCTAATTCCATTTCTATCATATTATTCCTAACTGGCTCAGTCATCCATCCATCCACTAATTGCTGGGTCTGAATAAAAAGTCTCTGAAGTAATACTCACCTAAGGGCAGTGATATTTATTTCTAGATTGAAAAACTTGATGTGATTTTTTTTAACTTTTTTTTTTTTTTTTTTTGAGGCAGACAGATAAACAGACCTTCCATTCATTGGTTCATTCCCTCAAATGGCCACAATGGCTGAGGCTGAGTTAGGCCAAAGTCGAGAGCTAGGGACTCAGTCTGGGTCTCCCATAGGCAGGAGAGACTCAACTCATTAGCAGGAAACTGGAATCGGAGAGCAGCCAGGTAGTCCAATAGGGTATGTGGACATTCCAACCAGCGGCTTACCGCTAGGTCAAACACCTGTAGCCTAACTGTTTTGGATATGCTTTTCTGTGCTGCTTAAATTCCTAATAGGAAATCAGAATACCTGTGAGGGAATGATGTTGGTTTAGTTTAGCAATGAATCTCATTCTCTCCCTCTCACCCTCTCTGTCACTATATAAAAGAAGAGATTTTCGAAGTCCCACTCAGTTCTCCAAACTCGTATTTCTTTATTTAGGTAAGAATTGTTTTTGCTTTTAAAAATAATTTATGTTTCATTGTTTTTGCTTTTTAAAAAAAATTTATTTGAGAGGCAGAGTTACAGAGAGAGAGAGAGACAGAGGCAGAGAGAGAAGTCTTCCATCCACTGGTTCACTCCCCAAATGGCTGCAACTGCTGGAGCTGGGCCAGGCCAAAGCCACGAGCCTGAAGCTTCTTCCAGGTCTCCTATGTGGGTGCAAGGTCCCGAGCACTTGGGTCATCTTCTGCCGCTTTTCCCAGGAGCAGCCAAGACACAAACTGGCGCCCATATAGGATGCCAGCGCTCCAGGCGGCAGCTTAACTACTAGGACACAGCGCCAGCCCTACTGTTTTTGCTTTTAAAGATAGTTTATGCTTTTAAAAATAATTTAGGTATGGCCGGCACCACAGCTCACTTGGCTAATCCTCTGCCTGCGGCGCTGGCACCCGGGGTTCTAGTCCCAGTTGGGGCGCCGGATTCTGTCCCGGTTGCTCCTCTTCCAGTCCAGCTCTCTGCTGTGGCCCGGGAAGGCAGTGGAGGATGACCCAGGTCCTTGGGCCCTGCACCCACATAGGAGACCAGGAGGAAGCACCTGGCTCCTGGCTTCGGATCAGCACAGCGCTGGCCACAGGGTGTCGGCCATAGCGGCCATTTGGCGGGTGAGCCAACGGAAGGAAGACCTTTCTCTCTCTCTCTCTCTCTCACTGTCTAACTCTGCCTGTCAGATAAAAAAATTTATGTTTGTAATCACTCCTTAGGTAAATAGAATGATGGATGCATGGATGTAAACACTCGATTTATTATTACTCTTATACAAAATGAACCATACTCGTTTTTTTTAAAAAAGATTTCATTTGTTTATCTGAGAGGTAGAGTTACAGACAGAGGGTGAGACAGAGAGAAAGGTCTTCCATCCACTGGTTCACTCCCCCTCCAAATCTCTACTTGCTATTTTTTTTTAAAGATTTACTCATTTATTTATTTGAAAGAGTTATACAGAGAGAAGAGGCAGAGAGAGAGAGTGGTCTTCCATCTGCCGGTTCACTCCTCAACTGGCCACAACGGCCAGAGCTGCGCCGATCCGAAGCCAGGAGCCAGGAGCTTTCTCCGGGTCTCCCATGTGGGTGCAGGGGCCCAGGGACTTGGGCCATCTTTTACTGCTTTCCTAGGCCACAGCAGAGAGCTGGATCGGAAGTGGAGCAGCCGGGACTAGAACCAGCGCCCATATGGGCTGCCGGCGCTTCAGGCCAGGGCGTTAACTCGCTGCACTACAGCTCCAGCCCCTCTACTTGCTATTTTTAAACAAAATTATTACATTCAATTTAGCTTAAATCGAAAGAAGATAAAGAACTGAAAGAACTAATAAACTTCAAATAAACATTTCTTTATCATGGTAGATATAATTTCTTAAAATATGCTTTCTGATGTTAAGAAGAGATTGTGAAATACCTTGACAGTTTGTAACATTGCTTTTTACCCTAAATGATTCAGTTTTAGGCAGATTTATTCCCTCCCATGCAAATTGAAACTTTAGTACTGTCTCCTCTTCCCACCTTCTTCTCCTTCATTTTGACTTTTATTGGTATAGCACTTCTATTACTTTGTTATTTATCTTTAGTTGTATTATTTTTATTTGCACAATATGGAGTTTTAGATCATTTCTAATATTTTATATATTCATAATTAATAGCTACTATTCATTTTTTGCTGCGTTCTTTTGCTATAGCTTCTCTATCCTTAAATTCTTTATTTGGTTCATTGTTTAGTTGGTTGGATTTCATTGTAAACACTTTTTTTTCTCAAATCACTTATTAGTACTGTTTTGTTGAATTCTTTAATGTGTGCTGCTTTTCATTTGAATAGGAATATTGTTCTTGGGTCACACGATTTCGGAAGAGCTGTGTTGTTGTTTATTGTGTTTCTGGCATTCACCATCATTGCAGGGAAGGCATCTGTGTGATTTTTTTCCCACTGGAGTTGACTTACATTTTCTGGCTGGATGTCTGAAAAGTTTT